GCCAAGGGACCCCTGACAGTATGGCCAACTACAAGATCATTAGGGCTAAACCCAGTGCTCTCCTGGATCACCTCCATGGCAGACAACAACCAAGGCAAGCCTGCTTCCCAATCCCCGTCCATTTGAATGCAATATGCACGCAACATGGATTTGAGCATTTCATTAAACCGCTTGAAAGCTCCTTGGCTCTGCGCATGATAAGGAGATGCCAGATTGTGACAAATTCGCAGATGCTTTAAGATCTGTGCAAACAAATTAGATGAAAAATGTTACCCTTGATCGGACTGTATGACTCTGGGAACTCCAAAAATTGAAAAGAAGTAGCATGCATCACAGACCTCGCAGTTATTGTGCACAACAGATACGCAGCTTGTGCTACCTTGTGCTCTGACACATCACTGGTAGCAGGTAAACACACCTGATTTAGATGATGGTCAATAATGAGATGTTCAAATGGCTGGCTTATGGCTAGTATTGGACACAGTGGGACGGGCTTCAAGCTCTGATTAGGTTTGCTGGTTAGCTGACACGTATGACATGATTTTATATACTCAGCGACATCTCTTTTCATACGTGGTCAAAAGAAGTACTTAAGAATGCGACTTTACGTCTTCCTGATGCCCAGACTCATCATGTGAGATCTGCAAGACCATACTACGGTAAGTAGGTTAACCTACATAATTTTCAAACTGAGGCACCAACTAACTCAATAACACTAGAAGTCCCAGAGAATTTCATTTTCCATCGTCACGCCCTACACAGGTAGAGCTGGCCACACTGCAACCGCTACTTCACCCTAAAACAGACCACAAACCAATACCATTTTATGCTAAGGGCACCTGAAGAACTTGCAGTCCAATCCTGAGCACCAGTAAGAAAGCACCTGTAAAAGACTTCTGTGAAGAAGGCAATGCTGGTTACACAATGAATAAATTAAAACCCGCTATATCACGCAATATTTGAATCTGTACCTTTTCATCATTGCCTACCAAGGAAACACACCCATCACTGATAAAAGGCTCAAAGGATGTTGTGGAGGGGGCGTGGCACTCAGCTGCAGGAGGGGAGGTGTGTTCAGGGGAGCAGTGCAAGGGGAGGTGATTAACACACCTGGAATCAGTTGGCTAATCACTCTCCCCTTATAAAAACAGTAGCATGCAGGGCCTGGGAGGAGGAACTGGAGTCGGAGAAGGATCCGAGCCACAAGATCAGGAACGACAGAACAACCGAAAAATGGCCCACGCTGGGCGTGTGTGTGTTTGCGCACACACGATCAAATTAATGTCCGTGACCAAATATTGGTCTCAGGAGAACTCTGTTGAGGCACCCACGGTGGTTTAACGGCCACAATTGGAACCCAACGTGATCTCGACAGGGGTGCAGAGGCCGAAATGACGGAACCACAGCAGCCCATTCTAACGCTGGCCCAGATGTTGGCGTAGATGGCAGCGATGAGCCAGGAACAGACTGCCCTAAGCTGGCAGCAACTAGGGGCTCTACTGGCGCAGACAGAGTGTTATACGCTACTGGAGGCTCCCGAGGACAATACTGGGAGGTGAGGAGGGCTGTTCTTGATCGGTTGGGGTTCTCTGCGGAGGACCATCGGCGTGGTTCCGGGACGCCCAGCTGGGACCCGATGGGCCCCCATTCGTTTACGCGCAGCAGTTGAGGGACGTGGCGGCCCGCTGGCTGCAGCCCGGCGAAGCTGCGGGAGAACAGCGGCTGGTGGAGACAGTGGTCCTGGAGCAGTTTGTGGCGGGGCTCCCGGCTGTGACTTCGGACCGGGTGCGGTGCCACCGCCTGGCAAATCTGGTGGCTGCTGTCACGCTGACGGAAGACCATCTGGGGGTTGTTTCGCCACGTCTGACACCGGGGTGCGAACCAGAGTGGACAGCCCGACCAACACCGGCATCCTGACGGAGGTTAGACACACTCACATAAATGTCTGTTACCAAATATTGGTCTCGGGAGAACTCTGTCGAGGCACCCACAGTGGCTGAACGGCCACAGACGTATGCTCCACACCTGACACTTGTGGCCCCACAGCAGGTTCAGAGACCTCTCAGGGACCGGCGCAGTAGACATTGCTGTTTTAGGGTAACACTTCCCTCAGCGTGCTTAGACCTGAACTTTAAAACATAACAATCACGCTTCCAGTGGCCGCGCTTATGGCAATAGTTACAAACTTTGTCCAACTCACGAGCACCACGTTTATTCCCTGGCTGCTCTAGTCTTACCGGGCGTGCAGACCACACGCCACCTACTGAGGAACTGTCCCTATGCCAACCACTCCGAAAAGAAGGACCTACTCGATCATGTGTTAACACATAGTCATCAGCAAGAGCTGCTGCCTCAGCTGCTGATTTGACTTTGCGTTCACTTATGACCGGCTCAAGGCCGAAACAAAGGAGGTTGTGCAACACAACCTTGTGGTCAACAAATATATAATTTGTTAAAGTAAATAACAAAAAAGAGGATGGCGGAGTCAGCATAGAGTGGATCAGGGCAGAGCCAGAGAGTGGGCATCTGGAAAGGCGGGGTTAAATAGGCCTGACTAGGAACGTTGGCCAGGTGCTCCTAGTCAACTTAATGAACTGGCTGCTTCACTCCTGCAACGAAAAAAGACAACCCACAGTATCGTTCCCCACACAGGGCTAAAGCCTGGAGCTGTCACAATGTAAATATAAAAATGTTCTCCGTGCCCTGCTGTGAATTTGAATAGATGGATTATTTATCAAAATACTGCATTACTCAAATATTAATTATCTTATTCACTACATTCACCATATTAAGATCTTTTTCATATTTTACCACCTGTCGGTTCAGTGACGATGGTTTTTGTGGACGGGACAGCCAAGTAACAGACAAGGTTCACTAGTACGGAATCTGAAGTGGCCTCCATGTTGCTCATTGTGGTTGAGTCAGGTGTGTGCTTTGGGTCCCCAGAAGTCAGTTATTGACCTTGAAAAAGTAATGATGAAGTCAAGTATGTATAAACCATCTTCACTCTCAGAACTTTGATATCAGAACATACTGAGCAAGTTAAAATAACTCTCCACTGATGGAGGTCAGCTATGGTTTCATCATCAGAATCACCCTCAGTTGTGGCAACCTTATCTGATAGGGTAAAAACAGTCAGAACAAAGTATTAAAATTAAAGGCCAAACAAGCAATGAATCTTTTAAACTGATGTTTCATACAAAATTTCAATCAGGATGACGTATCCAGTCTTTTATCCTCCAGGTCAGACAGTTTCCCTTTATCCATTGCTATTAACAGTTTGCTGACTTTTGCCAGCTGTAGAGAACTCTCTAGAAGCCTGAATCTCGGTGGATTCGGATGTCACGTCCAAGAAAAGAAGCAAGCTGATCCATTTAATTCTGTTTTAGATTTAGTACTGTGGCAACTTGTTTTCGCAATCTTGTTGACGTGAGTGCCTTTGGGATCTTTGCACCACATTGGTTTGCATAAGTACGAAGGCAGTCAGAGCCTCTGTAATGGGAAAGCACACCTGGAAATAGATAAATACACATTCTCTGCGAGGACCCGACACTTACTCATGTTTTCGATGTGGAGATTCATTTCTATGATCATGTCAGGTGTGAGAACCACAGGTAC